AAGATTTCAGTCTTAGCGAGGTGGCAAGTTTCTTGTCCTTGGAGCTGGTGCACAAGGGACCCTTTAAAGAAGGAGATGTGTGAGGTGTCTTCCAACTCAAGACTCGGAGGGTTGGTGTGCTGGTTGCCCTGCAGAAGGTGCTTGGGAAGCATCAGAAAGCCATATCTGCCTGGGTTTGATGGATGGAGTTACTCAAAACCAACGCAGAACATTTCCTTGAGGCTTTCGGGAGGGTGGATGGGGTTGGGGTGCTCTTGGAGACCACGAGGACTCCTGAAGCTTCTGGGACCTGATCGCTCCCAGGAAAATAGCCTGATCACCTATGATTTCATCCCTTTTCAGAAACAACAGAAAACCTTACCCCTCTTTAAATTAGAGGGAGGGGTTTTTTGTTCATTTGTTTTCAGGAATTCAAACCAGTGGGAGCTGCTCCAGTTCAGAAATGTCCAGGAAATGTTTTGTTCACTCATTTCTGTTCTTTTTGTAGTAAAATATACATGACGGGACCACGATCTTTTTTAAACATTTTGAAGTGTACAGTTTTGTAGCATTAAATGCATTCACAATGTTGGGCAACCGTCACCACTCTCCAACTCCAGAACTCTCTTCACCTTCTCAAACTGAAACTCTGTCCACATTAAACACGAACTCCCCTCCCTTGCCCGTCCCCCCCGGCCCTTGGCTCTCACCACTGTCCTTTCTGTCTCTAGGAATCCGACTTCTCTAGGGACCTTGTATAAGTGACGGGTCTTACAGCAACCATCTCTTTGTGACTGGTGTATTTCGCTTACATGGTGTCCTCAAGATTTATCCATGTTCTAGCCTGTGGCGGTCTTCCTTCCTTTTTCAGGCTGAATAACGTTCCATTGTATGGTTATGCCGCGTTTCGTTTCTCCATCATCTGCTGACGGACACTGGGGGTGCGCCCATCTTTTGGTGACTGGGAATCGCGCGGCTGTGCATTGGGGGTTGCCTGAGTCTCTGCTTGCAATTCTTTTGGGTCTAAACTCAGAAGTTGATTCACTCTCTTGTGACATTGCACTCTCTGAACTTAGGAGGAGACATTTGAGAACCACTGGCAAATCTCAAATAAAAATAATGACCCCTTTCTGCTGGGGCCCCTAACGTGAAATAGACCCATTTCCCCTAACTACTACGTGGAAAGGGGTTTTTTCGTTTGTTTGTTTGTTTGTTTGTTTGAGTCACGTCTTTAAATATAAAGGAAGTCCATAGGATCCTCTGTCACTGACTCTGAGAAACAACAGTCTTACCCAACCCTCCCAAAAAGGGAACCCGAGTGATGAGGTTCTCAGTCAAGGTAGGTCAGTCCTGTGCCGAAGGTCAACAAAATGTGCATGGGATTTTAGAGCAAAAGGGAAGTTTAGAAATCTCTTAGTCCAACGGTCCCTTTTGAGAGATAGGAAAACCAAGCCCCAGGTGGGAGGCAGACGTGGCCAAGTTCAAGGTCACAAGATCAGACTCAGCCCCACGGGAGGCCCGTGGCACCTCGTTGTGCCAGAGTCACCAGGCTGTGGCTCCGAGTCCACCTGGATGTAGGGGTGCAGGGCCGAGATTCTGGCTCGAGGTCAGGGCACCCTCTATCGGGATGGAGGGTTTGGAAGAGATGTTAACAGCGAGTCTCCTTCCGGAGGCTGATACCATCACGGCCCCTGTTTCATGAAGAAATCTTTGGGTTCTTTCACAATCTGTGCTCTGAGCTCTTTCTCAGAACGGTCCGTGTGAATCAAAACGGTGTGGTTGTTAATTAACTACAGTATAGATGATTGGTTCCTTTTTTTTTTTTTTTTTAACTCTGCTAGCAGGGGCCAAAAGGAAGTTCTCCTGGTGTGTTTGGCCCCCACGGGGAGCTTAAGGACTTGAAGCCCTGGGGTTGGCTCTGCCACTCTGCCAGGCTTGGTGGAGAGAACATTCTAGGGAGCGTTGGGAGGGAGACTGGGGGCTCTGAAGGGAACCGGAGAGTGGACCCTGAGCATCCATGAACTTGTGTTGTCCTGACTTCTAAGCAGTTGACCTCTATGGTGTTCTCAGGCTCTGAGCCCAAGGGAAAATTAGAGCTTCTTGAAGGAGGTCTTTCTCTCTTGCTTCTCCATTCAAAACTCTCTAGGAGCCCATGTGCCTCTTGTGGGTTCTAGAAAAGACAGCGATCAAAGGAATATGATTTTTCCATCATCTTGCCCCACCAACCAGCCTTCTTTCCCTGCTCCAGGCAGTCCGTCTTCATGGGTGGTTGGAAAGACCCCAGGTCTGATGGTAAGAGCCCTGGGCCAGGAGTCAAGTCCCAGCAGGACAGGAACACAGGGCCTGGACGAGCCATTTTTCTCCCTCAGCCTCAGTTTCCCCTGTGAGTCCAGAAGACAATCACTGCTTTCCTTGCCCCAGTGGGTGTCAGTTTGATGGCATAACGCTCATCATGAGCTCTAGACGCCTTTCTTAGCACGTAGGCGGACTTCCCTCCGTGCCAAGTAAGTGCCGACCCCGTGTCTTTTCAGTCGACAGTGTAGAGGCCGGGAGGCGGGGCCAGGAAGCAGCTTGGGATCTGCCTGGGATCAGGAGCCAGTCTCCAAGCCTCGTTCCTCCTTTGTGAATTGGGGCTGTAGCCACTCAGCTCCCAGGTCCAAACTCATGGAGTTAAGGCTACACAGATCCTGGCTACAAGAAATATCTCCGGCCATTCTAGCAATCCCATGCCTAGCTTCGGTTCTCCTTGGCTTGCTACTAAAATACTCTGCACAAAATAATAGATCATCTTTTGATAGTGAGACCGTGGCCCTCGGAGGCTCCTCTAGAAAAAAGGGCAAGACCACACAAACCCCACCTCCCCTGGAGTATGTGGGTCTCCTCTGGCTTTGCCCAGGGTCCGGCCTCCTTAAGGGATTCCTGGAGCCAAGAGTTAGAAGGGGGAAGAAAGGGGGGTGAGAGGAGCCCTGGGGGAGGGGGAGGAGGCAGAGGAAGACTGCCCTTGGCAGATAAGGCCACCGCGGGCTTCCCGACAAGCCTGGGAGAAACAGGAGGCCAGGCAAGCCCAGGAAGGGCACAATCTGACAGCTGGACTGGACCCCAGATCCTGCAAGTCCCACCTCTTCTTTTCATATCCCAGAGGTGAAGAGCCCGGAGCATGTCCCTGCTTCTGGTCCCGGGCTCATCCCTGTCCTCAGAGCACAACTGCTTTGGGCGGGGTACTGCGGTTGCAACCAGACAGGACAGGACGTGGGCTGTGCCTGCCTTCCTGAAGCTTCTTCTCCTGCAGGCTGTGATGCCATCACCTGCTCAGGGGTCCTGCGGCCCCAGCACCAGGCTGAGCACTTTGCACCCCTCTTTGTAACAGAGGTCCTTCCTGCCCCAACACTGCCAGGAAGATGGCTTGTGATTTGGGCACAGCTAGGGGTCCCTCTCCTGCCTGGCTTGGGGTCACGCTGGGGGAAGGGGTGACTCCCTGGGCCTGCTCCTCTCTAATCTCCCTCCTCCCAGCCAGCTCCTCGCCTTGGCCTTATCACCCAGCCCAGGCTGTTGTTGGAGCAGCTGTAATCCTTTTCCCGCGCTTGGCCCTATGGTCCCTGCAGCCCTGCAGGGCGGCTGACCTGGGGAAGGGGGCTCTAGCTCTGAGGTCTGGGAATGGGACCAGCAGAGGAGCCACCAGGAATGGCATTGGCAAAGTATTTCCTGAACTCTTGCCTGGGCCTGGCCTGGGGGTTGGGAGGAGAGAGGACCACTCAGATGTTCTCTGTCTCCCAGGAGCCTTCAGCAGAGCCTTAAGGACGTGTAACATCTGGCAGAGGGGGTGGGGGGCAAGTGTCAAGGTGTTCAGGCTGGTCTGGCTCTGCCACAGCCCAACCCCCACCCAAGAGCGAGAGCACGTCCCTTTCCTGATTTCCATGTCTTCCCCCACCCCCTGAGCAGTGGGTCCGGTGACCACGCAGCTAAGCTGGGCTGCCCACTGCGTCGTTCCCACAGGTGGCAGACACTGGCCTCTTTCACCACAGGCACAAAATGCCCTCCGGCTTCCCAGCGGGGTGACATGGGGGAGTCCTCTCAGGCCTTGAGCCCCACATGCAACTCCAACCCCCTCCTCGACCCCCACTCAGAGAGAGAGAAGCCTGGACTCTGCACCTTACAGAAAATGGAGTCGGCCCAGAGAGGTCAATTGTCTGCCCCAAAGTGCACAGCGGGTGAGCTGGGAGTCTAAGCATCCGGCTCCAGACCCTAGCTCAGGCTGCTCCTTCCATGGCCTCCGAGTGCCGCTCCCACAGGGGCGCGAATGCAGATTTCTGTATGGGGGGCCACCGTGTGTCATATCTGAAGACACCCCTGTCCTTCCTTCTCTGCTCTCGGTGCGATTCAGGGCATGTGGGTAGAAGACTGACCGTGGGGGTGTTCTAGAAGGTGGGCGTATTAATTTCCTAGCGAGGGAGGCATAGGGGGAGGTTAGGGTTTGTAGCCACTGCAGCAAACTACCAGAAACCAGGAGGCTTCAAACAACACAAAATTTGTTCGTCCAAGATTCTGGAGTCTTAGAGATCCCAAATCAAGGTGTCTGCAAGGTCGGTTCCTTCTGGAGGCTCTGGGGGAGTTTGTCACAAGCCTCTCTCGTGGTTTCTGGTGGAACCAGCGATCCTCTGGGCTCCTCGGCTTGTAAGTGCGACCCTCCCAGCTCTGCTCCTGCCTCCAGATGGTGTTCTCCCTGTGCGTCTGTGTCTTTGGGCCCAAGGTTCCCGCTTCTTATAAGAACCCCGGACATACTGGGCTTAGGGTCCGCCCTAACTCAGGATAACCTCATCTTAGGTAAAATCTGCAAAGACCGTGTTTCCGCAGAAGAGCACATTCACAGGTTCTGGGAAGACATGAATTTCTGGGGGCACCATTCAACTCAGGACAGTGGAATCCGATGTCAGGAAAAGGCTCTAAAATACAGAGGCTGTTGCCCTCTCGCCCTTCCTAACTGTTCTCCCCACTCCCCTCGCAGGTGTGGGCGCACACCTACCATGCCACGCTCCTTCCTGGTAAAGAGCAAGAAAGCTCACACCTACCACCAGCCCCGCGTCCAGGAAGATGACCCGGTCTGGCCTCCTGCCCTTAGACCCGGTGAGTCAGATCTCCCCCTGTGGCACCCACCCAGGGCTCCCTGCCCCCTGTGTTGGGGAGGTGGTGGCATCCCTTCTGCAAATGCAGAAGCTCAGTAAATGTGTTGAATGAATGAATGAATGAATCCCTCTCTTCTGACCCCGTGAGATGGTGGGAGCATCAGGATTGGAGCTGGTTAGGACATGTGGGTCCTAACCAGACTCAGAAAACATTTAGGGCTGTTGGGTGCTCAGAAAGCTAACACTGGGCCAGGAGTTCTCCCCAGCGAGGGGTTCCTTTCGGCCTCCACCCTGCTCCCACCATCCTGGGCAGGGCCCGTGCACACGAGCATCTGGGGACAGCAGCAAGTGCGTCTCTGGGTCCCCTGGTATCACTGATGGTCTTGTCTCCCCACAGCAGCCAGGGACCAAGTCCTGAGCAATGATCCTGTCTTCAGCAGCCTGTTCCCAAACCACTGCTTGACCTGGACTGACCTCAAGCACGAGCCAGAGCTGGAGCTTGACCAGAGCATGAGCAGGACACCCTTGGTGCCAGGTACCCCGGCAGGGACCCCCGGCCACTCCCCACCAGCCAGTGTAAGTGGAATGGAGGGGGGATGGGCTCATGGAAACAGGGATCCTAGGAGTTACAGAGTCAGGATAGACCAACAAGGCCATCTGGATACAATCTGGGCTCTCCAGCTTCTGCTTGGACCCAGACCCTCTCCCACAGTCAGTGTTTGGGGCTACACACCACAACCCTCAGCATGAGGTCAGTAGGTGGAGAGAGGTGGGGAGCAGTGCCCTAAGTTTCAATGAATCAGCACCATATGTGTGTCCCACTCTCCGCAGAGGCCCCTGCTGTAATGCCTCCATCCCAGGATAGGGACTCCGACTCACCCCCGTTCTACAAGCCCAGCTTCTCCTGGGATGCCCTGGCCTCGTCCTACGGCCACAGCTACCGGCAGGCCGCCTCCACCATGCAGTCTGCCTTCCTCGAGCACTCCGTCAGCCTGTACGGCAGCCCTCTGGTGCCCAGCACTGAGCCACCCCTGGACTTCAGCCTCCGCTGCTCCCCGGGCATGGATACGTACCACTGTATCAAGTGCAACAAGGTGGGCAGCTGGGGTGTGGGCGGGCTCGCGGGCCCTGCTCCGTGTCCCCTCCCCGGGTCCCTGGCAGCGGGGTGCTCCCTGTGCTGTGAATCTTGGGTCCTTCAGTGGGACCGAGGGTTCAGAATGCTCGTCCTCACCGTGGTTCGCTGAGCCCGGGGATGCGGACAAAAGGCTCCGCGAGGCTGCATCACTGGCCCCAGAGCACACAGCAAGGTGACGTCAGTGCCAGCCTTCACATGTGGCTGTGGCAGACTCCCAGCCATTCAGCCCCTAGCTAGGGCCAGGAGGGGCCTTTTACATGCTCCCACAGCCCCCATTTTCTAGACAGGAATCCAAACCACAGAGAGGGAAAGGGACCTTCCCAGGACACACAGCAGTTCCAGCGGAATCGGCACTCCGGTGCTTCTCCTGCTTCATGCCCATCTGTGCCTGGGTGTAGAGGGGATGGGGGTGGCCTTGGGACCCCAGGCCCATTTCCCTCTCCTCAGCCCCCAGTGTCCTCATGCTCTGCCCCCCGCCCCCAGGTGTTCTCCACTCCACACGGGCTTGAAGTGCACGTCCGCCGCTCTCACAGCGGGACCCGGCCCTTCGCCTGTGATGTCTGTGGCAAAACCTTTGGCCATGCCGTGAGCCTGGAGCAGCACACGCACGTCCACTCCCAGGTGGGCAGCAGGCCAAGCCCAGGACACCCCACCCCACCTCCCACTCCTGTTCTGGAAGCCTCGGGAAGCTTCTGCAGGAAGCCTCGGGGCTGTGGCCGGACCCCTCACCCTGCCCCTGAGGGTGACTCAGATCAGGGGTCCTTTATTCCCTCCTCTGGGTCCCCAAAACCCTCTTTTAAAAATTGTTATATCATACATACTTTACCTTGTCCTTGATAATGAATAATGGTGCTTTAGTTCTAGTTATGTTATCGTTTTCCCAACACCCACTCTTAACTGACTTCCCTCCCCGGTGGACCAAATGTGCTGCGGGGAGAGCTCCTGGCCCAGGGGGATGCTCAGAAATGATCGGCGTGGGCTGTGTGCGCAGAGCCAGGGTCCTTCGCTTCGACTTTTAGAATCTTGGCATCAGGCTTAAATGACCCTCTTGTCCCACTTAGGTTCTCGAATATTCCATTCCAGGGAAAGTGCCCGAAATGACCCGAGCTGCTAACACCGGGAGAGGCGGGGTAGGGCCATGAGAGCTCTCAGCTGTGAGCACACACCCCATGCTAGTTGCTGGCTCAGCTCTCTACCCTTTGAGCTCATTACTGCTGTTCTCATGTACAGATGGGGAAACTGAGTCTCAAGGGGTTAAATGACTTGTCTAAGGTCATGCAGTCTCGAGGTGGCAGAAGCCAGAAACGGGCCCCAATAATACAGACTCTTAACCAAAGCCCTGCAAAGCCCATGACCATGTCCCAGGTCAGTCGATCTATCAGTCAGTCAACAAACCCGTGGTGAGGCTCATTTTGCATTGGATACTGTGAAGGTTGCAGGGGAAAGCCCAGAGGAGGCCTCTCAGGCCCCAGGCCTCGGGGCCCCCTCTTGGGATGCAGAAATGGGGGTCTCTGGGTCCTGCTCCGCCAGGACCCGTTCTCGAGGCCCCCCCAACGAGTGTCCTGTTCCTCAGGGGATCCCGGCAGGGCCCGGACCTGCACCTGGCGTGGCAGTCCTGGGTCTTGAGGCCCCGCCCGCGCCTGACCCCCCAGGGCCTCGTTTCCTCCGGCAGGAGCGCAGCTTCGAGTGCCGGATGTGCGGCAAAGCCTTCAAACGCTCGTCCACCCTGTCCACGCACCTGCTCATCCATTCAGACACGAGGCCCTACCCCTGCCAGTTCTGCGGCAAGCGCTTCCACCAGAAGTCGGACATGAAGAAACACACCTACATCCACACAGGTGAGGCGCACCCCTCGCCGGCCCCGGGGCTCCCCGGCCGCCCCGCATGTCCCAAGCCGCCTCTCCCCGCACCCCCCCATCCCATGCGTAAAAGGCCCTGCTGCAGGCAGGGGTGCGCTCAAGTTACAAAGCAAGGGGTGCTCCCCTCCACGCGGGGGGGGGGGGGGGGCGCTGGGCCCGCCGCTCCTTAACTACACTTCGCGTGGGAAAAACCCCGGGAAGGAAGGAGCCCCAGTGTGACTGCGGGGGGAAGTGAGACCAGCAGGTAGATTCGCCGTCCGCTCACTCCTCCCCTCATTCACTGCTCGGCTCTTACCTGAGTGCCTGGACGTGGTCCCTGTTCGCCCAGGGTGCAACCCGGGGCCTTGTGCTCCTGGCTCCCTTTTGTAGTTCTTTTCTAAAGCACCTGTCGGGCCCTGAGGTAACACAGCCTAGTCCGGTGAACAAAGGCAGGACAGCGGGCCTGGCGCCGACAGCCCTGACACGGCCCCTGCTGCCCCGCAGGTGAGAAGCCCCACAAGTGCCAGGTGTGCGGGAAGGCCTTCAGCCAGAGCTCCAACCTCATCACCCACAGCCGGAAGCACACCGGCTTCAAGCCTTTCAGCTGCGAGCTGTGCACCAAGGGTTTCCAGCGCAAGGTGGACCTGCGGCGGCACCGGGAAAGCCAGCACAATCTCAAGTGAGGCTGCACCTGCCCCAGGCTCTGGCCAGGCTGCCCTGGGGTCCCGTCACCCAGGGGGAGGCCACCCTCCTGCGCCGAGATCCCCCATCTCCTGGCCAGCCTGCCCTGGGGTCCCCTGACCCAGAGGGAGGCCAGGCTCCTGTGCCTAGATCCTGTGTCTCCCGGAGTCAGTGCTGGGCAGGAATCATTCAGCTTGGTTTGAGATTCACAGAATTGCTGTGTGACCTCCAGCAAGCTGCTTTCCCTCTCTGAACCAATATTTTCCTGCTGCAAAATATGGGAACTGGGCTGGGTCTTCTTTGAGTTGAGGTTGTTTAGAAGTCTAAGAGCTTGGGCTACTTCCCTCGGGCAGGGCCCAGAAAGCCAGCATAGCCCCCTGCGAACAAGGATGTCGAGAATAGTCCAGAATAGGAATCCAAACAGAAATTCTCCCCCTCTGCCTGCTGCCCACTGTACTGGAATCTGGTTTTTAGTGGGTCTCTTTCAGGCTGCCATGGACAGCCAGAGCGGTTTCCTGCCCCAGTGGGAGGCCTCATTCCCCTCTGCTTCAGCTGGATGTGCCAGCTGCCCCCCCACTTCTGACTGGCACGCAGCTGGCCCCTAGGGTTCCGGCTCTGCTTTCAGGCCAAGAGGCTGGAGAGACAAGCAGTCATGCTCTCAGGAGCCCGTCCCTCTCAACGGCTGTAAATAAAAATAAAGACACAGATTTATTTACCCTTGACCAGTATTTATTAAGTGTGTCCTGGGCACAAGTTAGGCTTTGGGGAGGGACGGTCGGGGGCTCGGAAGGGCAGAGAAAGCTGGGGCGCCTGGCTGGCTCAGTCGGTTGAGCACGTGACTCTTGATCTCAGGGTTTTAAGTTCGAGCCCCACGTTGGGTGCGGAAATTACTAAAAAAATTTAAAACTTAAAAAAAAAAAGGTCAGAGAAAGCTCTGGAGTTGCTGGCAGAGGGGTTGGGAGATGTGGACTCAGACCAAACTGGTAAGTGCGGAAACAAAAGTGAAGGAGCCCCCTGGGGCGAGGCTCCTGCCGTCGGGGGCTGTATCAGTCTCCGTCGGGGGCTGTATCAGTCTCCGCCAGCGGATGTAACAAATTGCCACAGGGGTAGTGGCTTAAAACCATACGGTTTATCCCCGTCCAGTTCTGGAGGTCAGAAACCCAAAATGAGTCCTGGGAGCAAAACCCAGGGTGGGGGCAGGGCTGCATTCCTACAGGGAGAGGCTGTGGCCGCCTCATCCTTCTCGAAAACGGGTAGCTCCGACCTCTGCTTCCACCACCCGCCTCACTCTTCTGCCTGACCTTCTTGTCTTCCTCTTGGAAGGACCCCTATGACCCCATGGGGTTCGGTGGGACGATCCAGGGTCATCTTCCCATCTCAAAGTTCTCGATGTAATCACCGTCCTGTGCTGAATGATGGCACCCAAGGATGCCATCCTCGTCCTAATCCCTAGAGACTTATATGCCCACAGAGACTTTGAAATAGGACTCGCTTAAGCTTGGTGCCACCCTCTGCTAGCTGTACGACGTGACAGAGCTTCCTTGTCCATTGGGAAGGTTCCCTGAGACCAGGCGTGCACAGTAGTGAGCAGGGCTGAGCACGTGCTAAGTGCTGGCTGGCCACGAGTAGCCGCCATTTAAGTCCTGCCCATCCTCTGAGGCTTGCTGAAATGCTGCCTCCTCCAGGAAGCCTCCCTTGGCCATTCCACCTGGAGGCTCTCCCAGCTCTGAGAGCGGACTTCCTCGGGCTCCCCGCTTACAACTCAGGACCCACTGAACCTGCTATGGGAGTTACATGTGTCACTTTGTCCTCTGCTAGAAGGCAGTCTCCGGTGCCCTCAGCATGAAGCCCACACCCGGTCCACCCACCAGGCACTCCTAAACGAGTCTCTTCCAGGTACTGACCGGGGCGCATCGACTCGAACCCGCACAACCCTCTGCAAAGAAGGTATCATTATCCCATTTTTCAGAGGGGGTTAGTGGAGGCTCAGAAAGGTTGGCCAACTTGCCCAAGATCATGCTGCGGGCAAATGCAGAGCTGGGAATAGAATCTGATTCCAAGGCAAGATGGTCTTCAAGTCTCTGTTGACCTTCCTCCCAAAGGCACCCACAGATGCTTCCCCCCAGATCGCTCCTTTGCTGTGAATCTGTGGGGTTCTGAGGCCTTCTGGGGGGTGTGGCAACCTCCCATCCCCCCAGCTCGGGGTCTGGCCAGGCAGGACCCCTACTCTGCTTCATTCCAGAGGCTCTTTCTGTTACTCCAGCCAGAGTGCCCCATCAGGCACGCAGAAGCAGGGGTAGGGGGCTGGGATTTGCACAGGAGTGTGGTCTGGCCCCTCTGAAGGCTCCCCGTTTGTGGGGGTTCCCAACAAAGCCTTGGAGACCACGTGCTCCCTTCTCTCTTCCTGTCCAGGGACGCAGTGGAGCCCAGAGACAGGGAGCCACACATGGGGGCCAGGCCTGGGTGTCAGGGGCAAGGGAGGGTACTGGGCGCGCACACGCACACACATGGATGGGAACTGCTTTGCATGCTCTTTGTTTGCTAAACAAAACCACACCAATGTTAGGATTTTGGCCACTTCTGCAGCAGGGCGGGGCGAGGAAGAGAAACTGGGCAAGACAATGCGCCTTTCTTCGTCTGACGAGGCTCCAGCAATCAGCGCCCCCACAGAGGGCCCACACGCTGTAGGGGTTGGGGGGCCACAGCAGTCTCGGAGCCCTGGAGGCCAGAACCCCATTTGCACATTGCTGAGAAAGGAGGCCAGGGTGGGGCAGGTGAACCCTGCTCCCCAGCGGGAGGATTCAACCCCGTATGGAAGGCCCCGGCTCAGGGCTCCTGTGGGGGATTGTGGGCTCCTCTGCGTGTGCCCTGAGCCTGAGAGTAAAGCCACTTGCCCCTTCCCAACCCCAAACTCTCCCAGAGCTGTCACAGGAAGGACAGGCGTCAGGGGCAGGGCTGCGTTCCCTGGAGGAGGCTCGTAGATAGGCCAGCACTTTGCAGGCCTTGAGCGCCCCGTCCAGGTTCTGTCGGGAGCTGGCGGCTCGGCAGGTGTGCACAGGAACGTCACGGTCCCATCCTCCACCTGCTGTCCCCCTTCTGCTGCCTATCTGCTCTGAAATCCCACCGAGTAAACATGTGTAAACTGGAAAGACACTGTCAAGCCCTGTGGTGACTGCCCATGGCTTCCCTCTGCCACGTAAGGGGACAGACACCCAGAGGGGGAGGACGTGGCCCAAGTCACACTGCCCGTTAGCAACAAGGTGCCTCAGAAGCCAGGCTAGCGGCCTTTCCCCCAGGGCTGTGGGACAGATGGCACAACTCTAGGGAACTCTGTTTATATAGAACCCAGGGCATGTTGTGGCCTTTGAAATGATAGGGTGACCGCTCCCCGGCCCGGCTGAGGGCTGGGGGGCTGCGGCTGGGCCTCGGGAGACCTCCAGATGTCCCCAGCAGCTGCACCAGCACAGCGATTTGCTCAGCAGTGGGTAACAAAGTTAGCGATGTTAACAGCACGCTTTAATACTAAAACAAATCGGCCACGTCAGGGAACGGAATGCAACAACTGAATTAATGTTCAGATAATATGTCCAGTTAGCGGTGGCAGCATCAGGCCACATCACCCCGGGATGTGGCCACATCCCACATGGCAGCCCGCCGGGGCCCCAGCTGGGACCTGGGCCCCTGACAGACAAAGTGGGAGGTGCTCAGTGGAACCCTCCATGGAAATAACTGATAACGATGGAAATGTGTCTCCCAGGGTCAGCCCAGGCTTCTGTGTTGGCTGAGTGGACACCGGCCTGTCCCAGCCACCTGTCCCCGCCTGTCCCCCCACAGAGTGAGGCGGGGTGACCTGGAAGGAGCAGAGGGACTGAGGTGAGCAGGCAGGGCCTGCTGCTGGGGCAAGGGAGGAAGTGGAAGCGACCAGAGAATGATGAAAATCTGGGCTGGCTAGAGGTCTATGAAGCCCACTGGCCACCCATGGTGGGGCAGAGCCTGGTGCCAGCCCCAGACAGCACAAGGGACCCAAGACCCACCAGAATGTTGTAAAGGCACCTGAGCCCTGCAGGCGAGGAGCCCAAGAGACATTTCAGCTTTAGAGAGAGGACCCAGTGGGCGGGTGTGTGGGCAGGTGGTGTGGCCTGGTAAGTGTTGCGTGGGGGGCCTGAGTTCCTCCCCAGTTCCCTGCCCAGGCTGGTCAGGGAGTGGAGGGCTCCCCAAGAAGGAAGGGGAGACACACGGAATAATGGCAAGGTCATTCTGAGCCACTTTCCCGGAATTCTAAACCAAGCAGCAATGTCTTCCTCCCAGAAGGCCTTCAGAGAACTCTCAATGTCTCGGACACGCATCTTTGCCCACAGGGTTCCCTCTGCCAGGAGCGCCCTCTTGCCTCCCGGGAACCCTCTCTCAGCCTCAAACCCAGCTCCAGTGCCTGAAAGTTGTCCGCCACATGTGCTCTGCCCATGGCCTTCCAGTTCACTCCAGGAGGTCCTGTTAAGGAAATAGTCACAGGTGGGCGCTCGGATCAGCTGCAAGAGCGTCTTCTTGAGCCCATTGCAGTGGGGGAAGAAAGCCCGGAACCACTCTGAGCTCCTGTGAGAGAAGGTTGGGCTGTGTGAGCGGCGATGTGTCCGGACGACGGACTGCATCCAGCCTCTGAGACGGGCCTGGGTGCCTTGGCAGGACGGACCTGCCGGGGCCCGGGGTCTGCCCAGAGTCAGACGCCTGTTTCAGCACAGCTCGTTGGTTCCCTAACAACAAGGCAGCGTCGTACCTTTGTCGACCCTTAAAGAAACGGATCTGAGGAAAATCCACCAAACCAACGATCACAGCCGCCTTTGGGGGCTGGGAAGGATGTCTGGGCTGCACCCTTGGGGCTATTTCCAAAGGAAACTTGGATCTGTGTGGGTGTGTGCGTGTATGTGTGTGTGCGCGTGTGTGCATGCGTGTGCGTGTGTTTATATTTTTCGACTGAAAAAATTGAAGAGAAAATAGATTTTGCAGA